GAGATCCAGTCCCAACGTAAAAACGGAGAATCCTCGAAAAAGCTCTCCAGGACAATCTAGAATGAGGCACAAAGGAGAAAGAAGAGGAAGAATAGAGTCTGGAAAACCAAACTTTGAAAGCCGCAAGCGCAAAAATGATGCAAATRGATGTGACGAAGCGAGGGATGTGAAGCGGAGGGGYAATACAAACMGTGCTGAMRACCTCGATCYCASAGAAGGGRRTGTCGTGAAACCAATATCGTTCACAGCTCTGAGAAAAGTTTGCGATATCACTGAGAACGATGAAGCCATGTTGGAAATCCTCAAAATGGCAGAACGATATATTGCTCTTCTTAATTCCACAGAGAAAATTCGTGAAGAACTTTTTATGCTGATCATCGATAGCCTAGTGAAGATCTTAAAGTCGAAAAATCGTCCAACTCAAGTAAAGTATATTCTTTGTCAAACCCATCAAAAGTTCCTTGTGACCCATCTTACTCCTTTTATTCTGACGTTGTCGGATAACAAAGACCAAAACTTCGAAGAACTTATTTTAAAGCTCGTCACAATCATTGAAGTAATGCTGCAGCGCATGCCGGGGGAAGTAGTAGACATTGTACCAATAATCCATTTGAGGGACGTGGTAAAACAGTTTCACGAGAAAGGTCTTGTTAGCGATCAAGTCAAACGTCGAATGAAGGAAGCTAAAGCGTTATGGGAAAAAGTGAAAAAAGAAACTGGTAATAAAGCTTTAAGTGAAAAGCCTCCCGATAATTTCCGTGATTTGAGTGTGGTTCCAGATTACAAGGACTTTCAACCTGGGGCTAAACCTTTTGTGCGTGCCAATGTCATTGACAAGGCTTACATTAGCGTTGAGCATTATTTAGATGTTCAGTTTCGACTGCTTCGGGAAGATTTAATCATCCCTCTAAGAGATGGAGTAAAACAGCTGCGAAAGGAGAAAACGATGTTGGAAAAAGGATCTCAAGGAGATCGTAAGACCACAAAGAAGAGACGACAGGTATTTGTCTATCAAGATGTGAAGATCCTTAACCCAGTGTGCAATCGTGAAGGCGGTGTTTATCGAATCTGCATCGATATAAGCCATCCAGCTTTGCAACGAGTGCAATGGAAAAAGTCAAAAAGACTAAAGTTCGGCGCCCTCGTTTGTGTTTCTCCAGATTCTTTTCACACGTTATATTTTGGCTCAGTCGAGGAGCGTGACCCAGCAGATTTGAATTACGGAGAGCTACAGATACGTTTTGACAACTGCAATGGGCAACAGATGCGTTATTTCATAGAAAACAAGACAAGTTTTCAAATGGTTGAAAGTGATTCGTAT